ATACTCTGGGTAGATTACTGAGTGCATTGCAAGTTTTGAGTGTCCAGTTTGTAAAGTTTGGTTGACGTTTGCTATTGGCGAAATTCGTTGAGGAATAAATCATCCAACAATCTATGGCGCTCAAATCTTTTTGCAACACGGATTATTTATTGTGAAATTTACATGAGCAAGTGGATTATTGACGGTGTTATTTTGATACTCTTTCAGCCGTTGGATGTCGAGGTTTTAAACTAAAGTTTGAAAAAATGGTTTTTAAACTGTTGAACCGATTATGGAGCTTGTCTCAGAGACGTTTCGATGAATAAATAGAAAGTGGATTCAAATGGGGTTCAATTTGATTTTAAATTCCTGGTTAAAAACTGACGAAAAAAAACTGCTGATATGTGTCGTAAAATAGATAGAAATGTGAATTTTGGTTTTTCCAATGCTTGTGAAAGTTTGGTCACTAAACTTCAAGCGAAATTGTACTCGACCATCCCTGATTGGTATATTGGACGAGAATTTAATCCTACATTTTTGATGTGGCAAGTCAGCTTGGAAAATACAGGGTCTATTGACGTGCCTAATACTTTGTATACATACTAGGCGATAACTTCAATGGTTCATATTAGGAGGCGCTCATTTCACTGGTTATTGCTTTAAATCCAGCATCTTTATTTAAGGTACTGGAGGATTTTTCAGCTGTGGGGTTGGGACTCCAGTTGTGGGAGATTGGGACTCCAGTTGTGGGAGATTGGGACTCCAGTTGTGGGAGGTTGGGACTCCAGTTGTGGGAGCTTGGGACTCCAGTTGTGGGAGGTTGGGACTCTAGTTGTGGGCGCTTGGGACTCTAGTTGTGGGCGCTTGGGACTCTAGTTGTGGGCGCTTGGGACTCCAGTTGTGGGAGGTTGGGACTCCAGTTGTGGGAGGTTGGGACTCCAGTTGTGGGAGGTTGGGACTCCAGTTGTGGGAGCTTGGGACTCCAGTTGTGGGAGCTTGGGACTCCAGTTGTGGGAGCTTGGGACTCCAGTTGTGGGAGCTTGGGACTCTATTTATGGAGGGTTGGGGTTCGAGTTGTGGGTGCGAGCATATGATTTTTGCGCCTGCGGCCTTTAGATATTGTGTTATTTTTGTTGCCTTTAGCTTGCTTGCTTTTGCTTCCTTGCCGAGTGTTGATCGCGTGTTCATTTGTCGGTAGTGAAGTACGTTGCTCTCAGAAATTTAAAGCGATATCCCAAGAAGGTAGGAGTATCCAAATTGTCTGGCTTAGCTGGGGTTTAATAATGTTTTTCTTTTCCAGAGGGGAAAAGACAGCGAAGTGCCGTCACTCGCATCAAGTGGCCACATCAAAGGAGCGAAAGCAGGAGGCAACTTGAGGTACTATCACGAATGTATTTAAATAAGATTTGAATTTTTGGGAGTGATAAATTGTTTAATTTTTCAATTAAATTTATTATTTTTATTTTTTATTATATTTTTAATAATCTTCAACAACATCGAGATATTATCCTTGAAATTCAGAGAAGTGAGGCGCCCCTAATTTATATAGATTACAATGTCATCATAAATTGATATTACGTACTTACATACTCACTCAGATAAATGAGTGAGATTTGTCAAAATAACAATTAGCTTATTACACTTGCAATGGATCATTGAGACCCGGCCAGTTTGGCTCAGCATAACGGCGTATTAGGTCTACATTGGCTCTCTGCATGTTCTGGGTTAAAAAAAAAGTGTATATGGACAATGTGACCCAATCATTCTTCTTATTGCGTACGTTGTTGTCCTCAAACTTCATTTTAAATTGCTTCTGTTGGTACATAAATGTCACTATAATTGTTATTATCATTTCTAATTTCATCTTCATTCCTTGGAACAGTTTCATCGAACTCAAGCTTGATTAAGATAAAAGCTAATCTCTAGGAGCTCGGAGAATGGAGAAATTAAGTGATAAATTACTGACGCGCGTATTCGAGTTCATTCCTGGAAACGATCGTTGACGAGTGATGTGGGTTTGTCGTCGATGGAGGACTGTATTTAAAAATAATTTTAGCTGGAGCTTAACTTGTAAAAAGTCGATGCGCAGGCAAAGAGCAAGATTTATGTGCAAGATGTTGTCTGAAATGAATAGGCTGGTGACTCTCGCTATTCCAGGACAACCTCATCTGCACATGATCCTTCAGACTATTGCAGAGAATTGCATTTATTTGAAAAATCTTGACATTTCGAGCAAAAAATTGAGGAACGAATTTGCAATGGTTGCGCTGTGTGAACGTTGCGATTCTCTCAATTATTTAGACATGAATAATACGTCGATGTCATCAAAAACTGGCAGAGCTATTTTGTCAACGCTGTTGCGGATGCCGAAGGATACCTTAGTAAATATAAATTTTTGCAAGTGGGTGAACCACGAAACTCTAACTATTCTTTCAAATCATATCAACGGCCGAGTCGCGGTAAGGTATTTTCCTCATGTATGGCATCAGAATCTCGTCATGAAAGATTACATGAACAAGTTATTTGGGTTTATTGCCATCACTGTTACACGAAGAAATTGCGCATTTATGGAGAAAATGACGGAATTGGGCCACTGTCGTAGTTTGATCATAGCTCTGATCGATCATTTTGACGAATCGACTCAAACGCGATTTTTTAGCAGACTCCTGCGCAACGCACAAATCCAATGCATTTGGTTCAAGCATTCTAACTTAAATTTAACTTCTTTATGTGAAGCATTTAGTGTTCCAGTATGTTCAAGCTTATCTTTCCTCCGCTTAGACCTTGAAGGTTGGCTGGACGACAAAGTTTACAAGACGATTGTCAGCGCAATACCATGTGTGAAGTATTTATACCTGGCAAAGTTTACGCGTATTAGAGAGGATGTATTCGATGATATCTATCAGTGCAAGAAGTTGGAAATGTTAACTTTAAATTTCGTGATTCTGACCGTGAACGCCTTCATCAATATCAGGACCAACCTACCACGGCTTCGGGTATTAACACTTTACAATGCCACTAACATCCTGCCGGAAGATATCGCGGTCTTGCAGAGAGTCATGCCGGACGTCCAACTGCTCTACACTCCGTCATTACTTGGGGCCCTCTTCTCATTCATTGAACGCTAGGGTCTAGAGCATTGCATTTTTTGCATATGACCTTGTCAATCCAGGTTTCCAAAGAAGCGAACATCAATAGTCCAGCTACGAAGTTTGAATTTCTTGTTATTTAATGACCGATTAATTTTCACTTGGTTTGATTGGATAAAAGGCTCTTACTTGTCGTCACGAGATTCCAAGCCTGATGAAGTTTCCTCCAGTGAAGTGTGTGAATCAATCATGCATTCGTGTTTTATTTCCCAATTTTTTTGCCCCTTAAAAATTATCGCATTTTGTACTGCTGACATAATCACTAATCTCATTATTGAATCTAGACGCATCACTATATAGACGTGTTCACTCGTGTCCAAGCTCGTACTGAATCGGTCCAATATCACCTCGGTTTGGAGGATTTGCGCCTTCAGCCACCAAGTCTAAATTGTTCAGCAAAACCACATTCGTTCTTTGATTTTTAAAATAGGTTTCCAGTACGAGATTTCATGTGACAGTTTTAATGTCCGAGTAGTTAACTGAATTATGGGGTTAGAAGATGATTATTTTTATTGAACTGATCAATGCGCAACTAATGTTGTAGCCTACGAGTTCACAGCAGAGTTACTGACGAGTCATAAAATTAAATTTGAACTATTTATATGAATATCTAGTTCATTTAAGAATATCTAGTTACCNTATCCTGTTGGCTGTTATCCTGTTGGCTGTTATCCTGTTGGCTGTTATCCTGTTGGCTGTTATCCTGTTGGCTGTTATCCTGTTGGCTGTTATCCTGTTGGCTGTTATCCTGTTGGCTGTTATCCTGTTGGCTGTTGTCTGTTATCCTGTTGACTGTTGTCTGTTATCCTGTTGACTGTTGTCTGTTATCCTGTTGACTGTTACCCTGGTGGCAGTTCGTCTCAACTGAGGTGTCCTCTGTTGCATGCAAATCATCGGTTTCGTATTTCATAAATTTAAATTTCGTTACCCATAATGTTTATATATTGAGACTGCACATTTTAACTCGCCATACCTGTAAGTTGAGAGACGCTTAGTCTGATCGAGAACTCGCCGTAGGCTAAGTCTTACGCCTGTAAAACGTTAGATGAAGCACGTCAATAGATACGTCACTTGTTACGCACCGTGAGCCAAGTGGCGTGGCATATCATAAATAGCGAGTAACATAAATATAAGGTGAAATATAATTAGTCACGTAGCTCACAGAATATTGCGTCAGATGTGGCGTAATGCTTGCGTGATATGTTATATTTAGCCTTACAAATGTTGGCAAATAATGTGAGGCTTGAACGTTGTGAAGCAGGATTGGATTCTTGGAATAGCGGTTCTTATAATCAAGGTCGAACAATTCTGGTTTCCGATCAGTACCAGAGCGTACTAGTCAGTGACTTTCAATAGAAAGGGAAAATATGGTATCATATTTTTGTTGCAATATGATATGTCCACTCGTTCATGTATTACCCTTCTTGATTTCGATTTTCAAGTGTAGAACGTTACGTAAAGCAAAAACTTGCGTACCGACCCATTTCATGTGATGCATAAGATATCACGTACAGTGATTAACGCACATTAAGGACCGTCATGCGCGCCGCAACACCTGGGAAGCGTTCGCGTCATATATACAATAAACAGTATTCACCACAACGCTTAATCTAAATCCATTCTTCTCAATTGCTAGAGTTTTCCGCTTCTGTGAGCAAGTTATTCATATGTCCTAGAGCCGCCCAACTAAAGTACGGTATTGGAACTAATATGTCGGCAGATTTTGAGTATGACAACGACAATTCGTGATAATTACTATTGTTTGACAAATATGGCTTGCGTAACTTGACGACATGTGGATACTTGTGCTGTTCCCTACAATTAAATGACAAATGATATACTTATGCTGTTCCCCACTTATACTCAAAATAATTTACTTAGTTTCGTGTGAATTTATATGACTACAAATGATTTCGCTTCTACATGAGAGGAAATAAAGAATGAGTGATCCATGTCGGAATTTATTGCAGAAAATTCAGTATGACGAACAAGATGAATTTGGGAAAGGCTGCCATCTTGATCTTTTTATTCACCACTGCTTTGCTCGTCAGAGCAACAACTGATAATGATGATGCCGAGGACCTACTAATCATTAAGCAGGAGGATGATGATTACGAGCATGGTGACCTGGCAAGAGTGTTAGCGCAAGGTGAGCGTCGTATTTTAAGAACTAAACAACTAAACTATAGTTATTCCTTAATTACCGGATGCTCTGAACTTCTTTGTAAAATTTATGTTCAAGCACACTTAATGATGAGATGGTTCAAACCACAATCACGGCTTCAGAGTTAGTCCAGCGCGCATATTATTTTATTGAATTATCATTTTCAAAATTGTGACCACCATGAAGCCTATAGGTTTAATATAATGCATATTATTTTGCGATCGCCGGACGAGGACGGCCGTTCGTTTTATTTCAAGTCGATACCTTTTTGAAGCTTATTTCAATTCCTTTTCATCGAAACAAGTATAGTCGCGCTCTTTGTGATCCACGGAAATGGTTCTTGGTAAAACGCCTGTCGTTAGGTAAAATTTCGATTCTGATAGTATAAAAAGTCAGCTTTCGTGTGCA